CCACAATTATTACCGTCGTCACCCATAACTATCACTACTACCATCATCACCAAAACATTACCACCAGCATCACCATTGTCAATCATAACTGCCACCATAACCACGGTCGTCGCCACCCACCACACCCATCACTGTCTCCCACCACCACTATTATCACCGTTCACCCCCACTACAATCGGTCTTAAATTCTTTTCTTTACTCTATATTTGTTATTTTTGTGTTCTTTGTTATTTATTATCTTTGTGTTCTTTTTGATGGCTTTTGTTAGATCTATGATATTTTTTGATAGATTTGTGATGGGCTTTGTTAGATCTCAGGGTCTATGTTGTGACAGTTATTGAGGGTTTTTGTTTCAGATCTATGGTGTGTTAGATACAAGATTTTTAGATGTTGCATGTTCTTATTTTTATTTTTTATTTTTTGTGTTAGATCTGTAATTTTCATGTGCTACATCTGATTTTCTGTGTTAGATATGTAATATTCTGAATTTTTTAATTTTATGCTATTTGAATATGATCTTTGTTGAATTCTGATTATAGTGTTAGATATGATTTTTGTTGATTTTTGAGTTTATTCTACTTGAATATGATTTTTGCTCTTTGAAAATTGTTGGATAGATTTTTTCCTTGAAAAGTACTAGATAGATTTCTTACTTACTCAGTATACCAAATGCTAGTCCATATTGATGAGAAGAATTATGTGATAATTTTTAGTTGGTGACATGTAATTTGTTTGATTTTTTGGATTATTTACAATGTTGGATTATGTTGAACTTGGGCTTGGGCTTGGGCTTGGGCGGGGGGTGAAGGTGGGGCCAGGGATTACAAATTTACCCATGGACGTGGATGGGTATGAAAACTATACCCATTAACAGGGGTGGACCGAAGATGAATGGAGTTTTTTAAAGGGTACGGGGATGAAGACTACACCCCTGCCCCCGCTTCGGTTCACTGTCATCCCTAGTTACAACGTCTTGACACTCCCTCACTTCATCTCTCTCTCGTATTCTTCACCTCCCTTTGTCTCACTATATTTCTTTTCAAGCGGCAATTTAAGGGTTTCTTCAATTGTATAATTTAGTTAACAATTAGAATGCTTTGCTCACTTTTCCATTATAGAAATCAGTTTACAACCTCTACTCTCTTTATTTTAATGTTCTATTAGTGGAAAAAAAAAATTCAAATATGTTGGTATTTTAAAGTAGTATAGATATTTTTTTGAAGCTATGATGGAACTTTTATATTTTATAATAGTATGCTTATTTTATTGTGGTTTTATTTGTTTTCATCCATACTTTTGAGCATTATAGGGAGAAGCAAAATATGGAATCGAAATGCATGTAAGGTGTTCATAATTCCTTTTGTGTGTGTAGATACTTTACAAGTCTGTGGTATTAGTACAAATAATTCTATATGAATACGAAGTGTAGAGTGCTTTAACAAGAAATTGACCAACAGTATATTTTTTTTTCTTTTTGCCTTGTCAGTTGAAGGATGAGAGTTATTATTTTATTTGTTAAACATCAAACACACATGACAATGGTCATCTTAATTTTATTTCGACCAAAGTATTACATAAACAAAAGAAAGTAGAAGAGTTTTAAAAATCTAAAAGTTTAGCATTGATTTGACCTCATTATTATGAAATTCATGGTACGCCATCACTGAGTGAAAGTGGCATAGGAAAAACAGGGTTGACAACTGTCATGATTCTCTCTATGGTCCAAGGTCCACACAACCCAAATGACTTTTAGAAACTAAGCTTGTGTGTGGTATATGTTGGGAGTCACACTTCCATATTTAGCTCCTATGTGAATGCCTCTCACCCCACCACCAAAGAGAAAAATGACAATGCAAATATATCTTGAATTACACAAAGGAGAAACATGTCCTAATTTGATCAAGGTGACAAGAAAATAGGTAAATACAAGTTTACGACAACTAATTCCTATCACTATAAGTCATTTCGTCATTTACAATTGTTGTACATTGTTGTTGTGCTCAAAATTCTCTTGAAAAGAGTAAATTTGCCCATTCTTCTTAACTAACTAAAATTTAAGAGAAATTTGTGTAGTCATTTTCCTTTTCTTAAATCAAGTTGTGCCCTCTATTTTTGACATCTCAATTTTTGGGATAAACTTATGTTTTGTGTTTACCTTGACTTCTTGTAGCAATAATTGGAAGCTATTATGTAGTGGACGTCAAGATTGAGCAAGCAACCCTTATTTTTGGGCCTTGAGAGATATAATTTCTTACTGTTTTCTAAGAAAGCTTATTTTAAATTATTTACCCCTCAAACTTCAACCTATCAAGGATTGTATGACTTTCCAAATACAAGCCAATGTAACACCAATTTGTCATATGAATCAACAGGTGATTTCTAGGCATCTTGAAGAACAGTTGGAATTTGATTACTTTAAAAACTTCTAATGAATAACTTGTTTAGCATAAAAAATAATAAAAAAATAGTGTTATAATTATCACATATTTGAATTAGAACCAAACATTTTAGCCGGGATTTTTGTTTAACATTTTGTTTGGTCATGAGCTTCAGTTGACATTCACCAACATGATTGTTGTATATAATTTAAAGAAGGTAACTTAAACAGTTTTCTCAAAGTCGTGTATATGTGGAGTGTTTCATTCCACGACTCAAGTTGGATTTTGCTCTTCATCAACCAGTTTGTAGGTTGGACTAAAAATCCGATTGGTCTTAACCTGTCCAAATGTTTCAAGAATTTTAGGTTCATGCATCATTATTTATTCGTCATAATATGAAATGTTAGCCATGATTATTTTAATTTGTGTCGTAATAATCAATTACTTGTATTTGGTCTGACCTCCACTATGCAAGTGAGCCATCAATTTACAAATCTTCAATCAAATATAGGTTTTGATATATGTAAGGCGCTTAAAAACATAAAATTACAGATTATTATACTTAAAATGATTCAAGTGTAATACACATAAGCATTGATGCCAACGGTTGGGAGGTGTTACTAAAAGAAACCTGATGCCCCTAAACCCCATTTTGTTATTGAAATTTTTGACTGTGGGGTATTGCTTGTATGGGCCCTTTTGCCCCATTTTTGGATATCTTTATATATTGGTTGCTATGGATTATGTTTCTAAATGGGTAGAGGTTATTCCATGCCACAATAATTGTCATCACACTGTGGTGAAATTTTTAAAAGAAAATATCTTGTCACGATTTGGAATACCTCAAGCCATTGTTAGTAATGGGGGATTACACTTTTGTAATCGGTATTTTACAAACTTGATGAGAAAATATTTTATAAACCACAAGGTTGCAACCCCTTACCATCCATGGACAATTAGTCAAGAAAAATTGGTCAATAGGGANTATGCTCAAAATTCTCTTGAAAAGAGTAAATTTGCCCATTCTTCTTAACTAACGAAAATTTAAGAGAAATTTGTGTAGTCATTTTCCTTTTCTTAAATCAAGTTGTGCCCTCTATTTTTGACATCTCAATTTTTGGGATAAACTTATGTTTTGTGTTTACCTTGACTTCTTGTAGCAATAATTGGAAGCTATTATGTAGTGGACGTCAAGATTGAGCAAGCAACCCTTATTTTTGGGCCTTGAGAGATATAATTTCTTACTGTTTTCTAAGAAAGCTTATTTTAAATTATTTACCCCTCAAACTTCAACCTATCAAGGATTGTATGACTTTCCAAATACAAGCCAATGTAACACCAATTTGTCATATGAATCAACAGGTGATTTCTAGGCATCTTNTCATGACAAGAACATTTTTGCAAAAGACATTTGAGCCTTCTCAAATAATCTTGCTTTACAATTTAAGACTCCACCTATTTCTTGGTAATTTAAGGTCAAGGGGGACAAGACCTTGAATTGTGAAGTGTTTGGACACGANCAGGTGATTTCTAGGCATCTTGAAGAACAGTTGGAATTTGATTACTTTAAAAACTTCTAATGAATAACTTGTTTAGCATAAAAAATAATAAAAAAATAGTGTTATAATTATCACATATTTGAATTAGAACCAAACATTTTAGCCGGGATTTTTGTTNGAAGTAGTAGAGATTGAAAATCCTTCAATTGGTAATGTTGTTAAAGAAATGGCAAACGTCTAAAACCATTTTATGAAGAGTTTGTTGAGAATGTGGAATCCATAGATCTAATAGATCCACAATATCTTGAATTAATTTTTCATTTTTTATGTTTTGTACATAATGTTTATCGTTAACTAATATCATGTATTTTGTTTGTAGGATTTCGGTCAATGTGCAGTTGTTCCTTATCTTTCAACCTTAAATTCATTTTGCATTTATTGGTAAAATTAAAATATTGAGGACAATGTTGAGTTAACGTAATTTTTTTTTTAAAAAAAAGATTTTTTTTCTTTTTGGAAAATAACAGCATTCAAATGCCAGGAGAAGGCTATGAAACGCTACAGGCAGATGGTGAAGGGCAGAATTAGGAGGTAAAATCGTTCGAATGCCTACCCTTAGCATTAGAGCACCCTGTCGTAGATTTAAAAACAATAGCCTCTTCAGTTTCATGAAATTCAGCTTCCTCTCCCTCAAACACAAACCCTAGCCTACCCAAACACCCCTTTCGCCTTAGAAAGCCAAAACCCAGTGATNTTAAAAAAAAGATTTTTTTTCTTTTTGGAAAATAACAGCATTCAAATGCCATGAGAAGGCTATGAAACGCTATAGGCAGATGGTGAAGGGCAGAATTAGGAGGTAAAATCGTTCGAATGCCTACCCTTAGCGTTAGAGCACCCTGTCGTAGATTTAAAAACAATAGCCTCTTCAGTTTCATGTAATTCAGCTTCCTCTCCCTCAAACTCAAACCCTAGCCTACCCAAACACCCCTTTCGCCTTAGAAAGCCAAAACCCAGTGATTAAAACCTGTTTCTATGCCATAAAGCTCAAAACCCAAGATCTCTAACACAATTTCACATGTTGAATTCTTTGATTTTCCATAGATTTTTCCAATGGTGAGAAAACATGTTGCTCAAAGGTCAAGCCAAAGGAGGGGGTCTCAACAACCACCCAAAGGGGCAAAAGACCAAGAAGCCCGAGGCAACCGCCAATTTGAAGATGGAATCTTTCAAGACCACATGCAAAGGGAAAGGTATTATCTCCATTTCTCTTCTAAATCAATTGTTTGTGAAAGAGGCATTATGTATGATGATTTTGAACATTTGGTCATTAGAGATGTTGAGAAATCAAGGATGGGAAAGATTTATGAGACCAGTTGCAGATGACATCGAATGTATTNACAAGACTAAGAAGTCCGAGGCAACCGCCAATTTGAAGATGGAATCTTTCAAGACCACATGCAAAGGGAAAGTTATTATCTCCATTTCTCTTCTAAATCAATTGTTTGTGAAAGAGGCATTATGTATGACGATTTTGAACATTTGGTCATTAGAGATGTTGAGAAATCAAGGATGGAATTTACTACCTTTGTGAGAGGCCGCGAGTTTATTGTTAATCCTAGGGCAATTTTTGATATGATTAAACCCATGCCTAAGATAGTTGACGCAATGTACCCTCATAATCCCCCAATTGACTACGATTCAATAGGTGGGGTTTTAACTCAAAACCCTGAATTTATATGGGGAGNATTTTTGATATGATTAAACCCATGCCTAAGATAGTTGACGCAATGTACCCTCATAATCCCCCAATTGACTACGATTCAATAGGTGGGGTTTTAACTCAAAACCCTGAATTTATATGGGGAGTAGAGGGCAAATGCATCAAGTAGGGTGACCTCACTGAGAAGCATATAATTCTCGATTTGATTGTGGTGGCAAATTTAATGCCTTAAAGCCAAAAAGAATCAAATTTATATGGAACGTGATGTGCTTTTACATGCTTTTGGTGAGGGGCATATGACTAATTTGTCCAATTTTATTTTTGATCAAATTATGCTTGTTGTAAAGAACAAGCGGGCCACCCCGCTCTTTGGGATTCTTATCACCGAGTTGTGTACACAGAAAGGTGTTGTGATTGATCCGAGTCAGAAGGTTGTGGAGACACTAGCCCAATATGATAAGGCTAAACTCCATAGCAGTACAAGGCATGTTGCAGGACGAGGTGGAGGAGGAGCTGAATAGGAAAGAAACGCACCAGGGGATGTGTTTGGTGATGAGGATGCAATTAGGCAAGTTGAGGATGATGCACATAATGAAGAACAAACTACATGGGAACAAGCACCAACTGGGTCAGGGTCTGATAGGGATGTATTACTGGGACTCCAAGTACAAATGAATGAGTTTGGGGCAAGAATGGATCGCCTCAAGGATAATCAACTAGAGATCCTACGTCTTTTGAGACAAGGACGTGGTGCTGGACCTTCATCTTCCACAGAGTGATTGTTTCTTCATGAGGGAAGTTTTGCATCATTCTACCACTTTTGTGGTTATGCTAGCTCTTTTGGCACTCTGACTTGTTATCTTATATTAATTTATGGGTTTTAGTTGAACTTTGTATCAGTATTTGCATAGTATAGTTAGTTTTAACTGTTGAACTAACGTTTGGATGTTTCCTTGGGATTTTGCATAAAATTAGTGAGTCGTGTCTTACAGTTTATGCTTTATGTTTTTATAGTTTATGTTGGATTTATGTTTGTTTGCTTTGAACTTGTGTTGGATTCATTGTAAAGTTTAAATAATTCAGGGTTTGTTTGGTTATAAATATCAGAACTCCATGTATAATAGGGATAATCATGGAATTTTTGTTAAACATGTGATTATTATGATAGTTGTCTTATTTTGAAAGGCAAGTTCATAGGAATTTGTTCTAAAATTGAGTATCATCTTCATCTTATTGTTTGAAACTTAACATTTTTGGATAATATTCTTCCTTAAAAGCTTGAAGTGCATAGTGGAGATGAATAAAGTTACCCTGTTGAGCTTTTGCGCCATTCTTCTTTGTAGTATTAACCTACATTTACTCAAGTAAGAAGTTTCATTCCGTAAAAGTTCATTGAATAATCTCATTTTCATTGTTTTGATTAGTACAAGTAAAGTAGTGGATTGTTAAGTCCTTTGAACAACCAATAAGGGAAATACACTTGCACATTTTCTATGTAATGATTATAAGCCATCTTTGAATTTTCCTTGAGCCTTAGAGCATTCTTTCCAAGACTTTTATCCCTAGAAACTACTTTTGAGCCTAAAAAGTAAATTCATTTTGTAGCAGAAATCATAACCAAGCCAGGTATAACTTTATATATTTCTTTACATTGGTTAACCTGAATTTTTTATGGAGTTTCTATCAAAGGGACGAAGGATATTGGAATAAAAAAATTGAAAAAAAAAAGAAAGAAAATTTGTGTAAAAAGAAAAGAAAAAAAAAAGGGAAGAAGAAAATGTGCATGATTGCAAATTGAAAGCCAAAGGCTAAGAAAACAAAAAGAGAAAGTCATGAAGGGGATGGCGTTATCAAGTTTTATCGAAAAGGGAAGAGGAACATTTTCAAGACATGACATTTTCGGGTTAACTTCTTTTAAATCTCTTTTACCCTTCATTTCTATACCCTTCACCCAATGCCACAATACAACCTAATGGAAGTCCTATTTGATCTTAGGTAATGTGCATGTGTATGGAACTATATTATGATAAATGGACATGACATCGACATTGCTTTTAACTTGTACTAATATCCTTTCATGAGATTATGTCAATATTAGTTTCTTTAAATTTCCTTCCTTTGAACTTTTCCATATGTGAATAATAATTTGCTTTGAAATACATGATTCATATCACTTATGGATACCTGAGTGTAAAGTATAACTGGAGTGTTTCTATTGTGAGTGTTACACCCAAGAGGGGTTTGGCATTGAAGCTAATTATGAATAGATCAAAAGAAAAGGATGTTATTCACATTTTAGAAGTGGTATGGTCAATGCACTTATAGAGTTTTGAATAATAATATGATAGGTGAATATTCTTGTTTAGCATAGAGACTTATGAATGAGTTAATGGTGATCTATTCAAGTGTATGGATAGATATCATTATAACCTCATATTTTTAAACACAACAGATTATCTCAATTTATGATGGTTTTTGAAGTTTGAAGTTTGTAGGTGTAAAATTCGGGTAAATTTAAACATTTATGAAAAAGGGCAAAATGATAATTTTGCCACTACAGTACAGGTGGTAAACCTAAATTTTTTTAGAACTCGGATGACAAAACGGACCTCACCGTTGCATTTGTTTCACGAAATATAACTACCCTGTCAATTTTTGTCGAATTCTGAGATAGTCAAATTTTTTTACATTTTACGAGGCAGTCGAGTCTCAGGTGATCCAAAAATAGAATTTTTAATAAAATTTTGAAAGTTAAAAAATAATTTAAGGCAAATTAAAATAAAAATATTTTCAACTTGAACCGGAGCGAAATTTAATCGTTTCAGGGCGAAAATGGACTCGAAAAAAATAGGGTCGTGTGGTGCATTGTAAGCCAAATTCTAAGGGTATAAATAGAGGAAAAATTTTGATTTCTCCCTCATTGGTGTTCAATCGTTACCCGTTAGAGAGAGAGAGAGAGAAGAAAAGGGAGAAACTCTATCTTCTCTCTACGATCTACGGATCTTGGGTGCTCGAATCCACTCAGGCCAAGAAGGAAAGTTTTTCCTTGTGTCATGGGGCTACGCAACCAAACCAAAAACGAAGGCTTTCATCAAAAGTCAGAAAGACGAGATTTCGGGTGAGCTTGGATTAGAGCTCGGGCTAAGTTCTTGGAGCTTTCCAACGTATTTTTACACTTCAAGAGGTAGGATTCCTTCCTACTTGGGTTTATTTTACAACCTAAGGTGTGAAATTGAAATGAGTAGGTTGATAGAGATATATATCACTTGCCTTTGTTTGTGAAATTGATGAAATGGGTAGGTTGGTAGATATATATATTCACTTACCTATGTTTGTGAAATTGAAACCTATGTTTGTGAAATTGATAAAAGGGGTATAGAAATGGTTTAAAATAAATTCCTAGCATGGAATTGGTATGTGGTAATTACTTGTGTAATTTCATAGAAATTGGTGTTATGTGGGCATGCTATGTGTTTATATTATGCCTTTGTGAATAAAGTGTTTTATTTGCATATATTATATAATAATATACTTGTGATGTATTGTTGGATATGAAAATGTTGATGTATGATTATAGATATATCGACATTGTGATGGAATTGCTAATTATATACTTTGGACATGAATTGTCATGGAATATGTATAAATGTGATAAAATTTGCTCATATGACATTTATTACATATGGGGCATGACATCAATATAACAATAGTGCACTACATTGCATTTTCACGGAGACATCGCATCCATGGGCATGAAATATGGGTGTGGGTATGGGTTTGTGCATGGTTTGATCAAGTACCAACCTTACTGGTTGATGGATGGGCTCGATAAAGTTGGATTGAAAATCCAACTGAGTCGCACGGTTGCACGAAAATTGGGTCGGGGTTAGCCAGAAGGGCTAAACAATCTCTCAGGTGAGAGGCCCGGTGATCGGATACACACTCTGTTGGTATAAGAGTCCATAAAGGGGGTCGGTGTACGCAAAACCGTTGGTAGAAGTCCATGAATTCCGTGTCGGTTGGGTGCCGCTGGTGTAAGTCCATAAATACCCAACCCAAGAAAGACCCAAAAAATTTTAAATAGTCATTGGGTGTGTAATGCCAATGACGGAGCTTGGAAAGCTAATTTTTATACTCATGGTATTGCAAGGGAGAAAAAGAGCCAGGGAGGGCTCGGGTTAAGTTGCATGAGTGGGTATCACCTCATATCATGGCATGACATGTTAGAATCCAACTTAGACTTGCTAAATCTTGGTTGGAATGATTGTTACTTGTTTATATGTTGCATGTGAGTATTTCATATGCATCTAAGTTGGGGAGCAGCCTCTGTAAGAAATACTCTATTGAGCGTGACTCACTCTTTATGGGAAAAATATTTCAGGTATGGGTGGTACGTTGGCAGAAGGCTCTTACTCGGGGCCTCAATTATGAAGAAAGTCGGAATGTGGCTCTATTTTGAGTTTTTGTACAAGTATTTTGAAAACTTAGTTTTGATATGTAAATTTATGGAAATGAATGTAATATAATGTGTATGGACCTTGTATTAAATGAAAATCTTCATTTTGCATGTGTTGGATGGATGTCATATGGTTTGAAATGAATTCGAAATGAAAAATAGGTGAAATAGGCAAAACTGGACAAAGCATACTGGTACAACTTTTTCCAGTAAGCAAACCCTACAGGTAGGAATTTTTCTAGTAAGTTCACCCTACCGGTATACCTTCCAAAAATGTGAAATTTTAAAATTGTTTTGCCATACTTTTAGACTATGAGTTCTTAGGTCTCAAAGATATAAATGAGCTAAAATGGAGTATGAAATGTGGTACATTGAACCACGATTTGATTAAATGGTAAAATGTATACAGATTACACATGTGAGTTATAATCTCGATTAAGAGGGATGTTATTGACATGACGTCGGGTTGTGCGATGATCACGGGTACTTTCGCGGGTTAACAAGTGGTCAATGGTTGAAAATGAACCCCCGATTTTAGGGGTGTCACAGCTTGGTATCAAAGCATAGGTATGCGATTTACATAGGGCTTGATGGGCATGAGTCTAGACCATTGCATTCATGGTGCACTACATGTTGTGTGCTTAAATTGCTTTATGCTATGTGATATGTGCTACATGTTATGTGAAATATATACATGGTAAAATGTATATGGAAAAGAGACACTAGGGTTAGAAAAATATAACCTTGGGGGTTAGAAAACAAAGGAACGAGATAGTTCAAGGTGTAAATGCCTACTAGTGGGGGGCATAAACTCTACTAGGGAGACAAAGAGATGAATCTCAAGGTTTCAAGTTTGGTCCCTACTTTGGGATACTAAATTTAGTGTTTTATTGCTATCTGACATGTGTGTAGATGACTAGTAGAGGAAGAGAACGTCGAGGCGGTGGGCTGAACAATAATCAACCACCACCGGTCATTGACCAACAAGCCTTCATAGAGGCTATTGGTACTGTGGTTGCTACCATTGCACAGGCTAGTACAAATGTGGGACAAGAAGGCATGAGTAACCTCCAAAATTTTAAGGCGCACAAGTCTCCGATATTCGAGGGAGGGGCAGATCCGATAGTGGCCGACCATTGGTTCTAGCAAGTTGGCAAGATTTTAGAGGCAATGGAAATCACCTCTAATGCCACGAGGATAAGACTAGCTGCATTTCAGCTAGAGGGAGAAGCTCAATTGTGGTGTGATTGGGTAAAGAACTAAAGGGACTTAGAGTTAATGACATGGGGAGAGTTCCGGGAGCTCTTCATGGGTAAATACTTC